GAGGCCATCCCTATTAGGTTGGAGGCCATCGCTATTGGGTTGGAGGCCATGGCTAGTAGGTTGGACGCCATCGCTATTAGGTTGGAGGCCATCCCTAATAGGTTGGAGGCCATCGCTATTGGGTTGGAGGCCATGGCTAGTAGGTTGGACGCCATCGCTATTAGGTTGGAGGCCATCGCTATGGTTGGAATTCCTGAAATTCCAGATCACTCTGGGGACGCTTCCTCTCAGAGTACCCTGCGATTGGTGCCTGTGCTGATTCACGAGTGGGTCCATCTCGTCCTCCTTCACAAAGCCGTGGTGACTTTCCGAGGTTGGCCTTGCGATGAGAACTGGACAAAGACGCGCATATTGAATTACATACACGTCGTCATGTAAAACAATCAACCGTTCCCGTCTGACAGAAGACAGTGGTGCTTCCCAAGAGAAACAGAGCTTGACGTCTTCGAAGGTCGCGATTTGGTGGCCTTTGTGCGCGACATCTCGGGCGAAGGCCTTCAATGAGGGGCCACCCCATCACTGGGTGACGGTGTGAAACTGCGATGGGTTCACTGGTAGAACGCTGGTCCCTTTCGGCTGCCAAGCTACTTCCAAAACTTTTTCATTTGTGTCTTAGGGCTGGGAGACTTGATGAGTATAGCATGGGCGGGCATTGCATGAGACATTCGGATGTTCAGATATTTGTACAGAAGCTGAATGGACAAATATCAACATTAAGAAGGAGTTGATCCTGCCTCCTGGCATTGTGGGGACACATCCGCCACCCACGTGCAGTTACAAACCGTGTGTTATGTATGTGTATATATATATATACTATATTCATCTATATTCAGAGTTTAGGGCTCTTATTCCCCCAATCACTTTGGCTGCAGAATAGCTTGTTCTACAGTAAAGCGGCTATGCACACCTATCATATCTATACCATACCTGTCAGCCTTGAGAACAATTGAGAATTGTTCATGAACCCATTGTTTCCCAAAGGCTGGGATTTAATCCATCATTCAAAGTAAAGTCCGAAGACTATACAACTCCGCTGGTGAAGAGCCTTGGCCAGGTTTAGCCCTGGGCCTTTCTCCCACAGCCTCCGCTGCCTTCGGGGCCTCCTTTCCCAGCGCAGCAACTGGAGTTTGGGAGAAGGCGCATCGGTGCTGAGCTAAGATCCATAAGAAGGGTGCTTTGCCACGCTTCTGTGCGGCAACACCGCGCTAAAATCGGTCCTCTTCGACCCCCCTAGAATACATCCACCTACCCCAAGCATCTTCGAAGCGGAGGCTCGGCCAGAAGTTGGGCCCCAATTTGTGGGACCTTTCGACGGTTTTCGGTTTCCGATGCTCCACACCGCAGAGCCTCCCACTTTGCTGACTGTGAGGAAAGTAAGGAATAAAGGGTGGCTGGCTCCTGAGGTATCTACAGGCCGTGGTTCATTTATGTTCTACTTTCGTCGCACGAGTCTGATTGAGGTGGAATTGCTTCCATGGACCTTGTTGCATCCACAACCGCCCAGCTGGACGGGCCGCGTGTGCACCGTCCGCTGGCGCTTGCACATGGTGGACCTACGCCACTCGGTGAAGCAGAGCTATGCGACCGTCGATTGGATGTGTCGTGTCTTTTCTTCTGAATTCTTCAGCAGGATGAGTTTTTTTTGGATCATTGATGTGAAGACGTTTGACCAAAACCAGGCAACCAGTTTGCCAGTTTGTCCTTTGACCAACTGTTGAGGGCGTAAACGTGTCCCGGGTCGTGGGATTCCATCGAGCGGCCCATGAAGCCAACCAAAACAGTACTCTTTGCTTCTTGTGGGACTACCCTTAGCGTCCCTTAGCATCCCATATCACACTGGGGTTTTCTTGACGAGCTTTTGAGGCATGGACCTTGAAATAACATCCCCTAGGGCTCCAACTACCTCATGAGAGAAGATGGTTATGGTGGGTTTGGGGGGTCTAACCACCTGAGGATATGGTTGGAGCCCTAGGGATCATTGGAAGACTTCAATCTGACCTTTCCATGTCCCTTCTTGTTGAGGCCGTGCAGGCCGAGCCCCAACAATCCTTAACACTCGACCGAAAGGGAGAAGGAAAAACGTACGACGTACGACGTGCGGTGATGTTTTTGAAAACCGGTGAGTTGGTGAAAGACTGCAGAGGGGGCAGGTCGTGTTATGGCCCAGTATCGTTTGAGTCATTAAGAAAAATACATGTATAATATATATATATATCGTTTTATTACTATAATGTCGACTCTTGATTTATAAACTCCCCTCCCCCCCTCCCCCCCCCTCAACAACCAAGGCCTCCAAAATAATGTATAAGAAAATCAATCAATTGATAATTAAATAAGGAATCCTTAGCTAGCTACCTCTGGAGCTACTCTGGCAATACTAAAATGAAAGGAATCAAGAAACCTAACTTTGAAAACATCTGGAATATTAATTACAATAAAAGGGAATAAATCAATGCAAATAGAACTAACTTTTTAAATTTCAATGAAAATCTGAATCCAAAGACCTGCAATTTCAATGGTAAGTAAAGCAAATCAAAAGGCAAAGAAAAGGAATAAAGATTTAACGCCTCAAATCTCTAATAGACATTATTCTAGGGGCCCCCCCTAAATAATGTCAGAAAGCTGCTTGCTGGACTACCCCCTTTGCTTGAATGATGTTTTTTGTTTTTCAATACTTTTGAATCAGGGATTTTATAAAGAAAGTGCGCACCGACTTTTGGAAACTTTTGGAAAGCTTCAAAACTAAAGAGCTTAGGAAAAGTAAATAAGGAATAGAGGGTGAGTAAAGCAAATCAAACGGGAAAAAGTAAACTATAACAATAAAAAATATCCCACTACAACTACCTCTCCCAAAAACAAAAATACATTATTCTGGGGGGCGTTTATAAATTTGAGGTCAACATTTGTCAACCTGTCCACCAGATCTCCTGAGGTCCTGCATAGATATCATGTGCTCCGCTTTGCGACGAAAACGGCTTTGGGATCTCCAACGAGGCATACGGGTGAAAGGCATTCTGATCACTATACACTCCCGAAAACTAACATAGACCCTGACGTCCTGGCCCCCCTGGAAGAGTGTTTGCCTCTACCAACCAGTGGTTTTCAGGGTCTATGTTAGTTTTCCACGGTGTAGATCTAATCTTCCCCACAAAATCACCCAGTCCCAGTCTATTTTTTTTTTGCGTTGGTTTTCAGAGGTTTCTGGGCATCTAACAAACATATCTTGCCATATCAATTTCTTGCAGATCGGAAGCCTTTTCCAAACTCCTGGACTTGACTCATGTCAATGGACATCACCAATGAATTCGTGTGTGACTTTTCCTATCCCCAGTCCCACCACCTGTCGACTGGAAGATATGTCGACAAAAAACGTCGACATTGAATGACATTGACTGGCCTGATAGGCCAAGATGCCAGTCTCAGACGGACTGGAATCTAGGATCTGCGATCTGCTCGGTCACGCAAGGAGCAAAGCCTACGGAGTTCCTGGCCGGCAACAAGAACCTGCTGCTCCTGGGCACAAGTGATTCTGCCACACCAGCGGAACAATGCGCTACACAGGGTCATTCAGTCGCGGCAGAGGGCTGCACTGGTCGTATGAATTCCATGTTTGTGTTTTTTGCGGAAGGGGCTTTCGATCATCAAAACTCATTTATGACCCTAATGTATGTAACTATTCCATGGCTCTGGAGGAGTAAAAGCAACACCCCTACCACCGCTGCGGTGCTTGTGAACCATGAGTTCTGGGGCTGAAAAACATATTTACGAACCTAAAACGGCTAAGGATCCCAAGGCAGATGATTTACCATCCAGTGGCACTTTTTTGCCCATGAGAAAAGCACCGGCCAGACTCCGCTTGCTTGTATCCCAACTTTCAGAAATCCGTCGCGAGCGTCATGCACGGGGTGAAGCGAAGACCCTTTTTTTCGACGAACGTCCATGCACCTGTCAGGCGACTGAACGATGGAGCGGGGTCTTGGGTCAAAGAAAAGCTTCAACCAGGCCGGGAGCTGAAAACATGGCCATCTAGTGCTGAACTGGACGATCCTGAAAAGTCGCTGCAGATTTCGTCCTCATTCGAAATGGGGAGGATTTCGGGGGTTAAGGCCATTCAGCTCCTTCAATGGTCAGTTTTCAAGGTCGCGAACAGTTGATGGGGCTTGACCCCAACTTGGTGAAGTCATGTTCGCCGGGAGCGCCGACTTTTCAAGATGGTGCCCTTTGTAGCTGAAGAGACTCTCTGTTATTGAGCTGTCCGACTGACGCTTCGCTTGCATCGTCGGCCATGTGTAAAGAGGTGAAAACGCCCCGAGAATCACCGAAACGTCCGAGTTGTTCGGAAGCGTTGTTGGAGTGCGTCGTTCAGTGTGCGCACATAGGTTCGGGAAATAGACCATGTCTTTATACCCCAGAGCCAGGCCGATCGGGTGTCTCCCTGTTGGTCACCATACGTGTTGAGCTTTGAAAAAGACTGCATGGATTCCATGCCCCGAGACTGCAAGGTGAACGAAGGGATGAGTTCACCGAGTTCACCGCGTTACCACGCGGGTCTAACATGGTAAACCCCTCGAAGGAGTGGGTACAAGATGGACTATCATGGCCCATTCAGTGCATCACCTCTCCACTATAAACAAGAACTAAGTGAACCATTGTTGTTTTCCAAAGAAACCGAGCTCGAGTCGGCCCATGTATGTCCGAATTCTAGGACTCCCAGTGATAGAAAGGTCAGGTTTCGCCAGGTGTTTGCAGGTTGTTGCTGTGGTTACACTGCGGCACCGGCAAGAACTTTCAACCTCCACCCGCCTCCGCTTGCCGGGCGAAGCTTTTTCTTTTTTTTCGGATGGTGATGTTTTGGAGGGAGATGCGTGGCGTTGAAGATATTTGAAGTGGTACAAGTGTGTGTGTGCTTGTTTTCACACTCCGACTTCCTCCGTTCGTTCGACTTGACATGGCTGGTATGCTTGATTGAACGGGCCGTTTCTCGGCCAGGTCCGCCGCCCCGTCTGCATTCATCCATTGATGTTGGTTTCTGTGTTTGTCACGTTTTTTTCGCCCTTTCCTTCGGAGGCATCCTCACTGTGGAGATGTGCTTGGAGCGAACTCTGCCTTTGCATGTGGAGCTGGGCATCATGCGAAATAGCGCTCCTGGGCATCACGTAGAGTCGCCGGGGCACGCGTAGCGCCTGGGGGTCATCCATCAATTTGGTGAACGTGCGAGGCCTTTTGATCGTATAAGCTGAAAGGAAAGCGCAACAGACTTAGGACCATCGACTTTTATGATAGGACATTTGTGTTCAGGTTCTGTGTTTTTAACGGTTCTGTCATGAAGTGTGCAGTCCTGCCTGCCATGCTGCGATGTATCATATATATATATACAGTATATAATAAGTCAAGTGGAACTTGAGACATTGAACACAAAAGCAAAGCAACATAGAACAACACCATGGCAACCAGTGACAAGATCCCGTCGGACACGGGACACGTTTAACAGTGACAAACCACGCCGAGCCCAAACGGCAAGCTGAGAGCCAAACACGGCATGCATCAATAAGACAGTGCTTAAGCTCACTTGGGGGTTACCCTGCACCACCTGAAGCTAATCAGTGCCTCCACTTAGATTTGCAGAGATTCCACACCAAGAATTGGTGAATCCTCAAGCTCTTCCAAACTGCGTGGGCTGGTTCTTCGAGTGCAAGGGACGAAGGAAGTTTCATTCGACAGGTTACATTTTAGTCTTTGATTAGCAATGTTCAGTCACTGGCTGTTGAATGCGCATGGCTTGAGAGTGAACGACAACAGGCGAACAGGAGAGCTCTCGCTTTTCAGCTTTCTCGTTTTCTGAGCTGATCGAAATGGTGAGGATATCCTTAAGACCAGCTCAAGCCAGTGATTCACTTCATTGCAAGTATTATTGCACCTACAGAAACTTTGCACTCTCAAGTTTTGGACTCTAACAAAACCCAGCAGCCCTTCCTCATGCAGCTCCAGACTCACCTGCTCCCTACAAATTCCCCCTTCAGACCATTCCTTTGTCGATCTGGAACTACTAGTTAGTAGTAGCTTCTTGCTCCCTTCGTAGCGATGCCGTTCCAGGCGTCAGGCGTAGCTTGGCCGTGACCGTTTGAAGCAAATCCCGATGGTCCCAGGAAGTCCAAGAGCCCGAGATCCGTGCACTGGTGCTTGCAGACCAGCTCTGCATGTGACGCCTGGCTGGTGAAATCCGAGCGCCGGTTTGGGTTCACGCGAAGAACGTGACGCCATCCGCGTTCCTCTGTTTGGGGATGGATCGTAACAAATGACGCAGAGCTCGGACTTAGGATCGGTACTTGAGGATGCTTGGATCGGAAGAGGCTTCATCCCTGGCCCACCGTTTATGGCCCATGGCCCCCCCTGTCCCTAAGAAAAACACTTCGGGGGCGTTTTGGTTAATGGTCTCAAAATAGGGGGACCCACAAAGATGGACACCTGGGAGAGCTTCAAACCCCAAAAGTCGCCTATAGGAAAGTATGATATTAATAAAATATATCCTCTATTGAACTGGTATAAAAAATGGTTAAAAACAAACTCCAGGTCAAATGGCATCCTTTTCCCTGCAAATACAAAACCCTTGCATTAAGACAGTGATCCGTCGATATTCATCGCTGGTAATTGTTTTGTTCAGACTAACAGCTAAAGATTTCCAAAAGGGATGTCACTGATGCGGTTTTGTGCGGCCTCGGTGGAAAGTGCGTTTGCGTGGCTCTTATGCCGCGTGTCGCTGGTTAGTGGGTGGGTACCCAGTAGAAAATCACCCCCCAAATTTATACATACCTGAATCTTCCTAGGGCTGCACTTTTTGCGCCTCCTACCTAGAAGGCGCCTCTAGGAACTGAGAGGCAACTTTTTTTTTGCAAGAGGCGTTTCTTGGTTTACATAGGTTTCTTCCCAGTGATGCTGATAGTAATATGATAACCGTGAATACATAGGACAAACACCACAAACCCCGAACCATGAAAAAAACACATGCGGGCATGATAACTCACTGTGGAAAAGTGAGCACACACAACATGGAACTCTCGATATTTGTGAACTGCTTATTTTCCACTTGGAATGGCCTGCGAAAAAAGACCCCCACAAGTCTGGCTATCCCCCTTCAAAACCTGCATTTCAGGCAGGTCAAACCGGACTTGTGGGGGACTTTTTTTGCCGGCCAATCCAAGTAGAAAATTGCAAGTATGAACATGATATCGCGCAAATATGATAAACACACATGAAAAACATGAAACACATGAAAACCGCATGATGGCTGGTTTGACGTTAGTGAAAGAAGAGAAAGATGTGGACAAACTTGATGGTGACGATGCAACCCTGATGTCGGAGCTCCAACGGCCGCAGGTGGGGCTGTTCATTTCTATAGGTATTGGTACTCACCACTAGTCAGTGTTTTGGTCTGAACATTTCCTGGCTAAACATTTTACCTTTGCTTTCTGCCGGCTGCAGGTGCTCAGGTTGCAAGCCCAGCAACTGTCTACTCCTATGAACTCTGCCTTGAAAGACCTCCAGACGCCAAACACCTTGGAGAGCTTCGCCGGACCTGATGATGAAACTCTAATGTCTGATTTGGGCTTGGACGCAGTTGCTAGCAAGCATGATGAAGCCTGACCGATGATCTTTTATCATGTTGATAGATCCAAGCTGTCTGCAGCAGCAGCGGAAGATCACCAAAAACATTACAAGTGACAAGATTCCCTTTTGCCAGAAAAACACGAGAGGCAGGTTTTGTTCTAAGCGGCAACTCTTCAAAGGAGAGGCTAACATTTGAGCCTCTTTGCTAAGAGGCTGAGAAAAGCAACCACCAGAGGTTTAAGGTATGTTTGTAGTTTAGTAGTAGTCTAAGAAAGGAGGGAAGAGGAAACCCATGGCTGACTGGCTCAGCTAACGCAAGCTGACTCCACCCAAACTCTTAAAACAGGCTTGGGCCCCTCAGCACTATATAGGGAGTGGTTCGATCCCACGCCACGATTCCAAGAGGATTGGTGTCCGGCCCCTACTAAGGGTCGACCTTCACAGGCATCGGTTTTTTTTTCGGCCACAGCCGACAGCATCCAATCCGACAGCCAAGCAAGCACTTTTGATGATCCAGCTGAGAGTGAAGATGTCTAGCTTAGAGGTTAGGTTTACATATTGTACATATGTTTTTCACGCGCAAAAACGTCCACTCACCATCGTTTTCTACCTGCAAAGCGTTCATGTTCACCTTCTGTGCCCTTGCCACTTCCAATTTTTTGATCACCGCTTTGAGGTCTTGAGCATCGGCGACCAGAAACTGGACCCCATTGCCTGTGTCCGGAGGCTACAAGTCGGGACAAGACCCTCCGCCCGCCGCGACGGAGCCGATGCAAAAAACCGCAGCACTGCGCAGCGGTGGAGGAATGGTGACCCTGAATGTTTTGGCTCCAAGACGCTCGCAAAGGTGAGAAGGGTCACCTGCAAAAAAGGCGACCTTTTCCAAAAACCCTTGCTGTGTAAATCCTTTTTTTTGAAGGAACAAACTATCCACCTGACCCATGTTTTACGTACGAAAAATATAACGATCACATGTATTGTTGCATGTAAAAACATGCCTAAGATCTGCAGGTTCGCTTTTCAAAGACTGATTCAATTCTCCGAGAACCCAGGATTCTGTGTTTGTTTCGAGTGATTGGATTGAAGGCTCAATCTTCACCACCTGTGGCTCCTTCCGGGCCTCGACGTCAAAATTTTTTTAGCGGCTTCACAGTTTCGGTGAAGGTGGCTTTGGGAGGTCTATCTTCGCAAAAAACTGGTTAATTGGATGTGTAGGGAACTTTTGTCCATGTCCATGTTTGTAAAGGACGGGGAAACTCCAAGTGAATCTTGCCGTTTTCCGATAGAACTTACAACCTTCAAAGGGGTGTCTAATAGAGATCCTAAGTAGTCCTAAGTAGGGTATACAATATTCCATTGGAGACCCTAAAAGGAAGGTGCTGGTAAGTGAGCCTGTTTTGGAGAAGAAATATCCATAGGGAAATAGTTACTTACATTAGGGACATAAATTGAGTAACTGTATGCGTATATACATGGATGCTTTGGATAAGGTCTAAGGTTCTGATATTCGATCATTTGCAACCCGCAACAGCTTGAACAAGAGATCCAAGCAAGGAGACGCTCCTCAATTGTTTTGTCACGAAAGCTAGCTGTAGCTAGCTGGAGTCTGTCTTGCTTTAGCAAGGAGGGTGGGAGCCCAGGACCTGAGTGCTGTTAGATCAGGACTATACCCCCCCCCCCCTCGCGGGGTTCAACTCCACCCTTCTCCTCCTGGGTACCTGCTGCTGCTGCTGCTTGGTCGCTGCTGCTGCTGCTGCTGCTGGCATCTCATCTGCGCCTGGCTCTTGGCTTGGCTGCTTGCTGGTTGCTGCTGCTTGCTGCTTGCATGCTTGGTGCTGCTGGATGCCTGCTGCTTGCATGCTTGCTGGTGCTGGATGCTGGCTGCCTGCTGCTTCTTGTTTGCTCCGTTTTGCTGCTGTTGCTGTTGGGGTTTGTTGGCTGCTGTTGGTGCTGAAGAAATCCTATATTCGTTGGAATCGAGAGTAGTTGCATTCCCTCTGAGTCGTGAAACGATGCTAATTTCATTATATCCTTGAGAAGCTTGTGCAGGCATGTACCCACCCCACAACCCTCAAGAGTACAAATCAGAATGCACTATCCGCTATCCATGCAGATCAAAAGATGATACTTACTACACACATGAATGACAGAACCCAGTAAGATGTTTGAACGGGCTGTTTGCTTCACTCATGGTAGTCCGCGTTCCATGTTCGAGCGACAGGGAGCATGCACAAGCGTTGCGACGGAGTCTTCGGTCGCTGACACATGTTCGCATGCAACCCCTAGATGTCAATCATGCACACCGCTGCTGGCTGCATCGTCAGCATTTATTCGTTTATTCGTTGAAAAAACAGATATATCAGATATATCTGTCTTTCCACGTCGCCCTTCTACAATTACTCAGGCAGCACCTATATGTGCTATTGTTCGAGACCAAATGTTGGGGCACGAAAGACTCTAAGGAAAGCTCACTCTTTCCCTGCTGCTGCTGCTGCTGGTGGTGCTGCTGCTGCTGCTGGTGGTGCTGCTTGGTAGCTGGTGGTGCTGCTTGGTAGCTGCTGCTGCTTGGTAGCTGCTGCTGCTGCTGCTTAGTAGCTGCTTAGTAGCTGCTGCTGCTTGGTAGCTGCTCCTGCTGCTGCTGCTGCTGCTTGGTAGCTGCTGTTGATGCTGCTGCTGCTTGGTAGCTGCTGCTGCTGCTGCTGCTTGGTAGCTGCTGCTGCTGCTTGGTAGCTGCTGCTGCTGCTGCTGATGCTGCTGCTGCTTGGTGGCTGCTGCTGATGCTGCTGCTGCTTGGTAGCTGCTGCTGCTGCTGCTTGGTAGCTGATGCTGGTGTTGCTTGGTAGCTGCTGCTGCTGTTGCTTTGCTGCTGCTGCTTGGTAGCTGCTGCTGCTGCTGCTTAGCAGCTGCTGGTGCTGCTGCTGCTGCTTGGTAGCTGCTGCTGCTGCTTGGTAGCTGCTCCTGCTGCTGCTGCTGCTGCTTGGTAGCTGGTGCTGCTGCTTGCTAGCTACTCCTGCTGCTGCTTCGTAGCTTCTGCTTGCTGCCGCTGCCGCTGCTGGTTACAGTTATTGTTGTTGTGGCTGTTGCTGCTGCTGCTGCGGTTGCTGGGGTGGTTGTGTGTTGCCATGTGTTGGCTGTGTTGGGGTCGTATTGGGGGGGCGCTGTTGGCACTCTCCCTTTCCCTTGGCCATGGCATGTTGCGATTCCCGGCCAGGCTTTTGCTGCCTAAAGAGCCCCAGCGTTGTTTCTTTGCCTAGCTTTCGCCACCCCCCCTCTGGGCCACAAGTAATCTATAGGTTCTTTTCTGAGGTGTTATAGAAAGGAACACTTGCTTTTTGCTGCAGGTTCATGTCCACCAGCCGTGTAGCTTGAACAGCTTTTTCATGATACAACCAGGCCCTCTCTGGCTTGCCCTGGATCCTCCTTCCTGTGCAGGCCTTGGCGGAAGCTTTAGCGCCCTTGCCGCCCCCCAGCCAGGCGGAGAAGCTGGGCTGTGGGAGAAGATGTGAAAAAAAAAAACATTTATTGGATGGATTTCATACACACATATATATATATATATATAAAGATCGTTCGCATTGGAGCACGGCTTCTTCATCGAACAAATCAATGACTTTCACACCAAACCGCACCGCACTGGGTTTCTTGCCAGACTCCCAGCCAAATCCCAAATCCCGACGTTCAATTCCAGAAACGCACCCATGCCCAGATCGGACTGGAAGAGTTGCTGAATTACATCGGATGGGTCGTGAATGAGGCAGTATGTACACCACCTGGAATCAGAATCATCATGGAAGTGGATGGCATGGCCCCACAAGGAAGACTGAAGACCCTTTTGACCTATAAACAGCTGGTGAGCTCACTCCACGTAACCATCATGATTCCAGGGAGTGTGAGTGGCATCCCATTCCAGTCCCATATCATCCCATGTCTATCTGGCTCACAGTCTTCGCTGTGATGCTTTTTGATGGTTACATTCTTGCCCCCACATCAGATGTAGGAAGAGACATATGTTTGGCATGTTTGAATAGCTAGGCATGGAGGAAGGCTGCTTGGTGACTGGCTGACTGGCTGCTTGGTGACCATGTTTTGCGTAGGGAGAGTGAGTGGCTGACTGGCTGCAGGCGACCTACTGGGACAGCACCGCCGACTACGTGGCCTCATGGAGTCCAGCTGTGGACCTAGAGGCCGCGGCTAGTGCAGCAGATGAGGCTGGGCTGGCCTTCTATGGGCGACCAGACAAGGTTTGGGAAGGTTTGGCATGGCATGGGAGGTTTTTTGAGCTACATCATACACATGCATATATGAAAAAGCAGATACATCAGATCTCGGAGGAGGATTTGAGTTGCAAATGAAGTTACGGAAGGTTTGTGTTGCAAACTTTGGTTGAAAACAAATATGCATTCCTCCGCGACGTAAGGACATGCTTGGACTGACCAACCGAAACCCACCGAAACCCACCGCCGCCTTCGGCGCCTTCTGATGATCGGTCCCATCTCCCGGTCTCCGGGACCCCACCGAACGACATCACGACGACATCTCGGTTAGAGACTTCGTCTACGTCGTGCGTCCGTGTGGACCACGGGTGCAGGATGACACGCGCATCTTGTGCAATGTGGAGATCACCTGGGGCAACTCAGCGCATGTTTTTGGTGCTTCGCAGCCGGTGAAACGGTGAATGCTTCTGAGTTTGGAAGGGTTTTTGGACGGTGAATTGCGTAAGTTTTGGAATGGTGTTTGCAGGAATTGCTGGGTGGTTTCAGACATTTTATGTCTTTTTTGTTGACCTTTGCACCTGGTTCCACCTTCACTTTTGGGATGATTGAACCCACTGACAAATATCGTGGTTGTTTGTGAGTTGAAACCACCAAGCAGCGCCTGCAAGACTCGGGCTCTTCCAACGTTTTGGAGACTCAAGACCTTCGGAGACTTGGGGGTGTTTTCGGTCACTTGGGTTTGCACAGGGGAGACCAGAGGAGACTCAAGACAGGTAACTTTTGGAACATGTTGTCCTTTCTTAGTTTTGGAATGGTCCTGATCAAAGCGGACTTCCACACGGAGTACAGCACCATAAAGAAGGGAGCAAGCCAAGTTAAACCTTCACAGGGCAACGAAGGTTTGCCATCAAGCCATGTTTCAGAGATCACGCCATCTTTGGCGTCTCACAATTTTCCCTTGAGACAGGATTAACGAACTGGCACCTTCAGTCTCACCAAACCAACTATATATATATATAGTCCATAGTTTTGCAACTATAGTTACCAGTGCCATCCAAAAATCTTGCACCTGCTCATCCCACCCTTAGCAGGTGCAACAAAAACACCGCTCCCAACCCTTCAACCACCATCCACCATATATATATATATATATATGTTCTTATAGACTGGCCTCTCAACATATCAGGGCTCTAACCAGAACGGGCGCGCGACCAGTCCACCCGACCCTGCTGAGGCGAGCGCCGCGGCAGCTTCGCCGTGCCCAGCGGCTTGGCCTCGGCGCATCGCATGAAGCTCCGCGGACTCGTGCAAGGCCCGGCACCGGACGTCAGAGCAGCACATAGCGCACAAATCAACGCGCATAGCACATGGCCCAATGGTGTGGAGAGGTGGTTTACATGATCCTTTGAGGAGCCGATCCATCTTTTCTTTGATGTGGTCAGTGCATATATATTAAGTATATATATATATGGTATATATTGTGGTCAGTGCACATATATATATATATATATACGTTTATACTATTGTATTATGTTGTCTGGATCCAACACGAACTAGTTGTAATACGCATCGCGAGAAACATCTCCAATCCCTCACTTCAGTCTCCCACCGTGGAGACCCAACAGCTCCAAGGTGCCGATGGTCCAACGGAACGCTCCTCCGGGTGGCTTTGCTTACGACGGCCCGGAAGTGGCGCTGGCGCGGGCTGGAGTGGCCGTGCAGGCCCAAACGGGGTTCGCCCCGCCGAGGTCTTTGTCCGTCCATTCTAGCATCGCTACGAAAGGGGCTCCTGGCTGTACTACTAGGAACAAGAAGCTATTTGAAACCAGATATTCCATATTGTATATATGTTGCAAAATGAGTTCTCTCTTACGGAGTAGCAGGCAGAGAGCCACCTGAGCCGGCTCTAGGAACTAATTCTGCCTTTCAAAAAAGATGCCAAACATCTCAATGGCTCATGCAACCAGCAGCCTGTCTCAGGCTTGATTGCCGCCGAAGTGGTTTGCGACGATGGCACCGCGCAGCCGCTGGAGGTCCGGGGTTTTCATGGGTGACACGGCTGAGATGACCACAGGAATGACTCTGCTTAGCCAGACGTTCCCATGTAGAATAGATGTCTAAGTTCTGGTTTCAAGAGTCAATGTAATCAATGTAGTATAGGTTTATGTATTCCATGCATGGCATGCAATGGAGTCTTTGTTTTGTTTGAACCTATGAGCAGACATGGTGGAGGACGCCGAATGGGCAGTTGCGGTTTTGATGTGGGAATGCTACCTGGTCCACATGTTTCCTCCCGGTCCACGCAATGGTTGAGCCATGTCCAAGCCAGGTCTGGACCCATTGCAGAGGAGAAAATAGCAAGAACTCAGCTGGCCACTTGTTGTCAGGCGTTGCGTTCCATGTGAGTATGTGTTGTCATGCTCGGCTGAGACACCTCGAGTTGTTTTCAAAGCTCGGCGTCCGCCCTTGAGGGCAGCTACTTGCTACTACAGTAGTAATGGCCTCCAACCTGCTAGCGATGGCCTCCAACCTACTTTATAGCGATGGCCTCCAACCTACT